GTCCGTACCATAGAAACCTTCAAGTCCGAGTTCAAATACCAACTAAGCTACTAGCTAGGCTTAGAGAACTTCTATAAAACACGTTAGTAATAAGTTTTAAATATATTCTAAATAACTTATAGCAAGGAGTGTTCTAGTAATTATATATAACCTTTATATAGAAGTCTATATATATTAGTATAACAAGTTAAGAATAGGTTAATAATATATTTACTCTTTGCCTTGTAGACCTCTATTATAGAGGGCTAGCTAGTCTTCTTAACCCTACTAACCTTATAGTAGGCTATATTAAGCCTATAATCTTTTTTAGCATAGGTATATAGAGTGCCCCTAGTACCTAGAATAGCCTAAGAATATTAGAACCTGTTTAGAACATGTTTAGAACCTGTTCTTACTCTACACAAGGTGCCCTTGTTGTTAATCTTAGTATAGTAGTAGCGCTCTCTACTCTCTATCTTAACTGCCCTATTAGGGCTAACTATAGGCCATGCCCTAATATTATCTAGGACGTGGCTAAGGGTAAGGTACTGTTAATAGTGCTTCTATAACCTGTTAAGAACACGTTCTAAACACGTTTTAATCTACTTACGTAGGATAAGAGGGATATATTAGTAATAGGTATAGTAGTAGTAGCTTATAGTATTACTAGTATAGAATGTGTTTAGAACAGGTTTAGAACGCGTTGCAAAATCTTACAGCATAATATTTGGTTAACCTCGCTTAGCTAGCTAGTGGAGCTTGGCACGGCCTAACCCCATGCCGAATACAAGTTCACGCAGCGCTAATTCCATGGTCATATGAACTGCGCCCTCTGGTTTGGGGGTTACGGGTACGGGTACGGTAGGCAGGATAGACTACTACTTTGGGAAGAGAGAAGAACTCCTGCCGCCCTTCTCCACCTACAACACGTCCTCCCTACTATATCCTTCTATTCTCCTCCCCTCCCTCCCATCCTCCTACCTACCCGCAACCCCCAACACACGCACCCAATCTCCACCGCCCTCACATCTCCCAACCCCCAATTCTCCCGCGCAACCGGCGGTGGGCGCCGATCGTCGCGCCGATCCATGCGCGCCGAGATACGACATGGGCTTGCCATGACCATGCCGGGCTGGCTTGGTACGGGGGGAAGGGGGATGTATGGTACATGTGGCATGTACAACACTGGTGTCTGACCGTGCTATGCTGAGTCTACGTTTCAGACTACAGATACGAGTTGTGGCTTGCCCTTGGAAATCTGCTTGGGACCTTGCAATACGAGGCGAGGAGATGGGGGGTGGGTGCGTAGGTAGGTAGGTAGGTAGGTAGGTAGGGTTAGACGGTGCACTGTGCAGTACCGGTACGGCTAGTGTAGGTACAAGAGGTATCCCAGTGCTGGAAACATGTATTCCACATTCCACCCAAGTCGTCCATATTTCGCGCCTGTGTACTATCGGCTTTGCTTTATGCGGTAGGGTGTAGAAATTGAGTACATCCATGCTTGCTGTGCACATGATACACAGTATCCAATCCTGCAACCCAAAACAAACACCTGCCCAGACTGCCGCACAAAATCCACCCAGACATCTCCACCACTCTCCTCGACTACACTGCTACATTCCCGCCCCAGAGTATCGTGAATCTCGCCCTCAGAGCAGTGTCTCGCGTGTACCTACACCTTACCTACCCATCACAATCCACTATCCAAAGTATAAACACCCACCGATGGGCTGAAGGGCAGTATCTACAGCTCAGTCAAGTAGAG